TTTTAAATTTGCTTTGAAATGTTTTCTCAAAGACATGCTCCAAATTCAGGGAAGCCAGGCTGCTTTACTGCCCATCTTAAACATGAGATGTACTACGAGGAGATCACCAGAGTTTTCCCTCTTTCAGGACAGCTGCTACCCTTCAACCAATTTAATGAGCATGTAACATATTACACAAAACTTGATGATACATAACATTAAAGGTGTGAACTGCAGGAAAAAACATGGACACAYTTCTGGGCCAAACTAAGTATAAAATAAAAAATAAAGCTAACACATTATGACATACTTGTTTTTTTTCCTAAACTGTTACTTCTTGATAAAAGTGGTTGCACTTTTGTCATCAAAACAACAAAACACTGATTTTTTTTTTTAATTACATAGGCATATGTAGTTCATTTTAAGTGACCAAAAGCACAAACAGGAAGCAATCACTCCAGGACTGGCAGCCAACCAGACCTGCCACAGMATCAATGCAAAACCTACATACAAAGCCTCACCTAAAGTTTCAGAATGCTTGTCCTACACTGAATTCTCTACACTGAAAGTGATAAGGACTATGGAGAGATTTTCTGTGATATGCAAGTATAATTTTTTTTTCTCTCCTCAGATCAGTTTCTCCAGTAAAATACAAGTATGCAGAACAGAAAGTTGAGTTGCCACTATACATTTCCATCTGCAACTTTTAGGGGAACGAGGTTACCAAGAATAATTACAGAATTCTTTTTGTTCTCTGTGCCTTTTTTTAGATTAAGTTTGTCATTTGATAGGAAATCCAACTACTGTCATCATAATTCATAATAAAATGACTGATCAGTCCCTTTGGGGCAGGATGGACGATTCAGCAACCAGCTCCCAACTGAGTCAGAAGCAGTCTGGGTTCAAGCTCTACCATATTCTCTCTCAAAAAGTTGAATAAATGCAGGAAATCAATATTAAAACTGACAAGCCTGTCACCTGTCTCCTCCACTATRTGTCACAAGGGATTTGAGGGATTACAAATCCTCCACAGTCTTTTAACCAGCCCCCACAATGAGGACAATTACAAGGATACTTTGGAAACGCTCTGCAGAGGTGCAGACATGCTTGAGTAAGGACTCATCCTGTAAGCACGCATCAGCTGCCTCGGAATGCTTTATTTTTATCTTGCTTTCTGCCAGGTAGCACAGGCACTTTGTTTGCTAATGCACTGCCTGCACTCTCCACGCTTCCTGCTCCTGCTATCAGCTGCAGGCAGGGAAAACTGCTGGGGGAGAAAGTGGTTTGTCTTTTTACTCACACAGACTGAGTTCGTTGTTATGGGAACACCATTCATGCTACTCATCCAGAGTAACTTGGTTTTCCTGTAACTAAGGGCATTCTTCCAGCCTGAATCTATCCATACAGGACCTGCAGAGTTTACTCAACACCTGCATTTAACTTGGTGCTTTAAACTTTAAGTCAGGGCAGAAGATCATTAAGATTCTGAATGTTCAAGGAGAGACAAGTAGAAATGCAGTGCACAATTTGCAAGTTAGACCTCTCCGATAGCTCAAAAATTTGTGGCTTAGGGATGTCTTTATCCATACTTGGCAMTTTTAAGTGTCATTCTCTCCATCAGTGTGTCTTCCATGAATTTGTCCAGTTGCTCCTTAAACTCAGGCAAACTTCCAGGGTCCAAAGTCCTTGTTTTYACCATCTGAAGAACTTGGTATCATCACAGACTGTGCAGCTTTGTTAGGGAACTTTGTCCCGCTTGCTTTTAGGCAGAAGGGAACAGATCTTTCAAACTTTACTGTGTTTGTCCTTCCCTATAGAACTGACCATGTATTTCAGACTTGTACTTATCAGCAAACTGCTGATCCATGCAAAGGCCACTATCACAATACAGCTGCAAAGTTCCTTCAAGAGACTTTGGTGGGGATTTTTTTTTTAAATCACTGAAAAATCTAAGTCACACAAAACCAGACGACCTCTCCACAGGCTGCTAAGTCCCTTGCAGAGCTCCTACAGACTTACAACGCCCAATGATCTTCATATATCAAGTATTGCTCTCCTAACAGCCCATTTATCAATGCATCCACTAGCCCCATTATCTAGAATAAGCTTTTTTTGGTTATTTGATTAAGGTCTGCTCCTACAGCAGCACAGACCAACCTCACCCACTGTGAGCCTGCCACAAAAACCTGATTCTGTTCTGTGAATAGGGGAACAGTCCATGAGAGAAATTATTTGCCCAGATCAGGTATCAAAATCAGAGCAATCCGTGCACCTCAGCTAAGTTTCTGAATTTAACCATGGCATACATTATCTTCCATTCCTTCCAGCAATTTTTCCAGGTGTGTAAAGCAATATAAAAGTACTGGTATTCAACAGAAGGAGAAGCTTTGAAACAGAACCAGAGTAAGCCTGTCCTAGCAGAATAATGATGGTCCGATCTTCAATTCTGCACTCTCAAATTCAAAGGAAACTAAGAATGGAATTTCAGCTTAACTTCTCAGTCAACTTTTTAAGCTACAAATCAGCTTTTTAAGCATAAATCAGTTTTAACCCTGAGATTTCAATTAAAAATTAAATTAACAATATGTCTAAACCTTCTTTTTAGTAAGTTCTAACAAAACAAGTGAAAGAGAATGATTTTGCAGCAGATGTATCCAATGCAGTGTCAATAGCACACCTAACCCTTACTCAGGGTGTTCAGGAAAAAAAGCACACCAAGTTACAAAGCCAGCTGTCCTTCCTTCCTCATCCTAGCCATTACTCGAAGCAGTTCAAAAAGTGCTGAAGAAGATACAAGAGATAATCAGAGCAGTGATGTCAGTGGTACCTGAATAACCTATTGTGGGAGACCTCTCCTACTGATCTGCTAATGGCCTCTTCAAAAAGACCTCACACTGCAGGAGCTGGGGTAAGCGGGTCCCAGTCAGAAAGCAATTACATTAGCTGGACTTGAAATCRCTTGTTTTTCCAAGAAAATGGAGCTGCTTCTCAGGTCAGCATGCATCTTGGCTATTGTTCCTCTTTCAATAAGGCTTTGTCCTCCGTGGTCAGGTTTTGGGGCCAGAGCTTTCAAAAAGCAATACTATGCACTGAGATTCAGCCAAGTCAGGGCACTGCTGCTGCCTGCCATGGTACAACTTKAAGACAGCTCCCTCCTTTCCCACTGGAACTTGTCTGAGGCACACAGCTCAAGCTGTCAGCTGTGGGCATTGTAGTTCACAGACTTCTTTCAACATTTCCTCTTTATTTCACATCCTTAACCTTCAGATTACAGAGAAGAAAAGTAGTTGCTCCCATGAAACCTCTGCTTCTGCATCCATCCAAGAGAGATGCTTTTGGCAGTGCCCCTGAGTATTCTGCTCACTCCTTCTCCAAAGAAACCAGGACTTAGGGCTCCTACCATTCCCCATTAGTCTAACAAACTTATCGATAGCCTCATTTCTGACATCTTCCCACTTCTTCCAGTGTAACACAAAAAAAGAACAATTTTCTGCAAATATAAAAAATTTGGAAGCATTTAAAAACCCAGAAGATGCTTTAAGAGTGCTGGCAAGATTGTGGGCAACACAGCAGACACCTTTAAATCTCTGGGTCACTTTGTTTTCTCCTAGAATTTATTCACAAAATGAGCARCCTCTTTACTGCATCTCCTGCCAATACTTGCCTACAGTCAAGCACTGTGCAATTTAGGGGCATAGGCTTAATTACACTGGTAAATTAAAGCATCCATTTTCCCTGGCTCTAGAGGAACAGAAAGCATTCAGGCAACAGATACAGGCTGCTGGCTGACACATATTTGCTTTCCAAGCAGTAAAACATCGACAGCTTTCCAAAACAACCACTCATGTCACACACAGTATCCATAACAGCCTCCTAAAGTAAGTAATTTGTGGTGGCATAACAAGTAGAATGCCTCAGGCTTGTGCACTGACACTTTCAGAATAYACAGTCTAATGCTTTCTCTGTGGCACATGTGCTACTTTTGCATGTACAACCTACAGGTCTCCAGTGGCCTAGCTGCAATTCACAGTATTTCTCAAAATCAGTCAGTTCTGGCACAAGGACCAGTGGACATCAAAGCAAATTACCCCAGGGAGCCTTCAAAACATGCTCAGTTCACTCTCTCCAGATTGCCTGTGGCTGCACTGAGTTAGATCAGATCCCCTCCAAATGTTAATTTTTTTGGAGGAAGGGCCCTACTCTGGTCACTCATTCTTCAAACAGAAAGCAGCCCCTGCCTTTGATTATTCACACTGCCTTTCTACACRTGCTTTTCAGCTCTGTATTTTCATCCAAAGGACACAGACCTGCATGCAACAGTCAAGGGCATGGCATGGCAAGGACATGAGAACAGCAACACTCTTTCCTCAATCAACCGGTTTTTGATCAGAAGCATCAAGATGGTATTTAGAAGTTTTTAACTTCAAATTCTTCCTTCTGAAGAGCAAGAAGCACCTTCTGGGTGCACTATCATTTACCCTCCAAGACTCCTCTTTACATACTTATCTATGAAAGCCATCCTTCAATCTTTCATTTTCTCACATACCAAGCTCAGGAGACAATGCAGCTCAATTTCTGAAATGTTTGCACCTCCAGATTGAAGAGGCAAGTGTCCCTTGCCTGCCACAGCCTCATCYTTCAGCAAAGCTATTTCCATACTACATTTGGATTTGTATCAGAAATCAGTCTAATGATATATATGCCACATTTCAAACACCCTGGYAAAAGTTTCTATTGCAAAGCCTCAAACAGCAGCTTACCACAGCCAAAGCACCCCAGCTAGAAACCCACACACATCCCAGTTCTGTTCTACAGGATRTTTCCTCTTTCTGTGCACACATTTGTAAAGGAACTTGCCGTGCTGCACTGGGAGCAGAMAGAAAATGGGAAAGGATTTTAAAAGTCAAAATCGCAGATTTTTTTACCCCTGGTAATGTTACCACCCATAGGACAGCCAGCTTCTGGTCATCTCAAAGACACACCTAGGGAGAGCTTGCTCAACTTCCCCTCACATCACTCACCTCGCCTGAGTAACTGTACTTTCCCTTCAGGATCTGCCGGTACAGGCGGGTGCGGTTGTCATCCTCAAAGGGCATCGTGCCGCTGAGGAGAATGTACGAGATCACCCCCAGCGCCCACATGTCCACGGAGTTCGTGTAGGGCTTCCTGACCAGGATCTCAGGAGCAATGTACTCSGGGGTGCCACACGTGGTTTTCATCAGGCAGTCATCTCCCTTCTTCCGCGCGCTCGCCAGCCCGAAATCCGTGATCATGATTTTGGAGTCTGTTCCCGGGTGGTAGTACAGCAGGTTYTCCGGCTTCAAGTCGCGGTGGGTGATGCCCAGGGTGTGCAGGTACCTCACCCCATCCAGCACCATCTGCAGCACGCGCGTGGCGTCCCTCTCGGTGAAGGAGCCTTTGGCGATGATGCGGTCGAAGAGCTCGCCGCCGGTGGCCAGCTCCATCACCATGTACACGCGGTCCTGGGTCTCGAACACCTCGATGAGCTGGATGATGTTGGTGTGGCGGACGCGCCGCAGGACGCTCAGCTCTGATTCACACACCTCCCGCCCCTCCCGGTACTTGGTCTCGATCATCTTGATGGCGTAGGGCTGCTTGGTGGCCTTGTGCTCCACGCGCACCACGCGGCTGAAGCTGCCCCGCCCGATCAGCGCTTTGATGTCGTACTTGGCCGTCACTCGGGGGTCAAACTTGGCGCGGTATTTGGCCACTTTGTTCTTGCGGGGCTCGGGCTGGTGGGCGGGCAGGGGGTTCCCGGGATAGGGGTTGGTGTGATGAGGAGGAGAGGGAGAGCCAGCTTTGATGACGGCCCCGCAGTCATCTTTGATGAAATGCTTGTAGATGTCACTGTGGCCTGTGTAAGGCTCGACTTTTTTAACCAGGTCTAGCTGCACATCTTTGGGGGGCTCGGGAAGCACTTTGCTTGTCCCACAGCCCATCACTGACTGGTGTTAATTCCCTATCAAGGCATGTTCCCAGGGGAGCATCAGCAGCAACCACATCTGGGGCAATTCCCACATTTGAATCTTARAAAGAGAATGAGAAGAAACAAATAAATAAAAATCAAGGCAGTAGAGGTTCAAACTGAAGAAAAAATCAAAACAGAGCCATGCTATCACAAACTGAGAATCTGGGATTTTTGCTTCTCTTTCCTCCAGAGTGTGCACAGTGCTCAGCTCCCTTCATCACAAATGAGTGAAGGCAGTGCCTAGAAACATCCAGTCATGGTCAGAACAAATGTGTCCATGGAAATCACACAGCATCTCTATTAAGGATAGCTTTTCTGCTCCCAGCTGAGCACTGAATCATTCAGGCTGGATGAGACTTCTGGAGGCCTCTTTGTCCAGACACAATTGCTTAAGAAAAATCAAATTAAGGTAAGAGTTGAGCATTTTCCTTCATTTTGTTAGATCTGCTCAACCTCCTTAAGTCAGTAGCCAGTCCAAACCTTATAGTTCTGAGTCTTCCCATAGAAGCTCCACAAAGCACCTCAGCAACTTGTTCACTTAACAGATATTCCCAATACTTTCTTTATATTGAACTTGTACAGTAACTTAAACCTCTCACTCCTTTGCTCCTGGGAATCAATGGAATAGCACAAGAAGGAAYATGGAACCAGAGGCTCACTGGTTTGAAGGTGCATTTTACCACTGAACCTGCTGCAGCCCCTGCTGAAAGGAAAATATGCACCTACCCAGAGCAGCTTTTGGTCAGAAAGTCCMTCATCCTCCAAACCCTGAGAAATCAAGGTGGGCTTTGACATCTTTCAACAACCTGACCCAGTTTTACTTTATGTCACATCTTCAGGCACCAAGTGGCACTTCTGGCTTTCCACACGGAGYTGCATGTGAGAAGTGGAACTCTTATCAGCTGTTCCAGACTAGGAGCTCTTGCTCATCACACTGTATCCCAACAAAACCAAATCAGACTTGCACTTGGGCAAGTCTKTATGTGCTGATTAAAACAATATGACTGGTCAGGAGATGGGGAAGCCACCTGTGGCTCTAGCAGACACTGGGCAGATTTGCATTTGCCCTTTTTGACTCAGAGCCCATCAACACATGCCTGAGCAGGAGGATACAGAAAACCATTAGCCTTTAAAATGTGATTTTAGGTCTTACCATCACCAGGTGTATCTCCACTCACACACCACCTCTCCAAACAACTATTCAGCATGAACAGCAATAAAGGAACCCCAGCCGGTCTTCCATCAGAAGAAACAGGTGGAGAAATAAGAAATGTTTTAAAGGGACACCTGGAAGAAGTTCAGACTCTAYATCCAACCTGGAAAGAAAACCAGGCTTTAGTTAAGATTCAATTTTATAGTTGAACATCAYCAAAGTAACTTCTCATGGGAGAGGCCATAAAGTCAAACAACTCAGCCATGCACAGACATTGCTGCAGTAGGGTGCAGACAGTAGAAATTAAAAAACACTTCACAGAAACCTTAGCTGACTTTCACCAAGCACTGCCCTGGAGGTGGGAGTCCATTTAGGCTAAAGCACCATGATAAAAAATTAACACCTCGGGCTAGTCCTGAATAATGCCTCCCACAGACAGTTTTCCCAGCATTACCAAACCTTACAGCATATTAAGTTAACAGAAAAATGGAATGAAAGCATCCATAAACAAAATGATTACAGAGTAATTCAATATGTAGAGAAGGCCTTGTGTAAAACGTCCCACCCACACATAAAACCAAAGAGAAAGATCAAATACTTGAAAATATYATATATAAATCCAGTAATGGCATTAACTGAGATCTGGCAGCAACTCCAGCAGGTCAGCTCCTCCTTGTACACTTAAATGTTGCAGTGAAGGCTACAGAATCCCAGAGCGGCATGCCAGAGTCTGAAACAAAATGCTTAACTCCATGGTAGTGCAGGAAATGCTCGTGTGTGTAATAACCATCAAGAATGTGGGGAAAGGAATTAAGACAAACGGGGCATTACAAGCTCTCCAAGCGGGAAATCACACACTTGGCAGGTGGCAAACTCTCTGAGCTACAGATGGAAGTGGTGGGAAGGAACATGGGATTTATGCTTTTCCCCATGGAGATTCAGCTCCTCGCCTGTCATCTCACTAACACATCTCAAATRTGCCTCAGTGCCTGACACAAACCCGACACAACCYGGCATTCCCAGKGCAAGCCTKYAGTGGATTTCGGAGGGGAAACTTGSGGCTGCTGCTGCACCGCAGGCAGCTATTCCAGAGCCAGGGGCTGTCCAGAATCAGCCAAATTAACCGGAATTTCCAAAACTCTGTTTTTAGAACTCATCCCAACCCACGCCGTTTGTCGCCATCCTGGAGAGGAGACCCAGGGCCGGGCCGGTCGGCAGGTTCGGCTCCAGACCTGGGAAGCACCGCGCCCACCCCACTGAGAGGGCACTCCGGGACCGGGCAAGGGTCCCTCCCCGGCCCGCCCGTCCCCGCGGCCCAGCGCCCCGGGCAGCTGGTAGGGCTGAGGCGTCGGGACCCACCGCGTCCGCCCCTCCCGGACGCACCGCCACCGCCCCGGAGGAAGGAAGGGAGGGGAAGAGAAGGGAGGGGAGGGGAGGCGGAGCCGGAGCCGGTGCCGGGCCGGGCGGTCCCGGGGGCGCCGATCCCGGACTCACCTGGGCCCGCTCCGGCCGCGCCGCGGCACCGCCTCCACACGTCATCAGCGCGCGCCGGGGCCGCCCGAGGGGCGGGGACACCGCGAGCGGCGATTGGCGGAGGGCGCGGGGGGGCGGGGCCGAGGGGCGCGCGGGGGGCGGGGGCGCTTTACCGCCCCCTGCCGGGTTCGGCGGGAGACCCCGCCCGGGATCCGCCCTCAGCCCCGACCCGCCCCGGGGCCCGCTCGCGGCTCGGGGGGTGTGCGGGGCTGAGGGGCGGCTGAGCCCGGCCTGGGGCCTCTCAGCCTCGCCTGGGCCCCTTGGCCCTCCTGGGACCCCTTAGCCTCGCCTGGGATCCTTAGCCCCGCCTGGGGCCTCTCAGCCTTCGCCGCCACCCCTCAGCCCTGCCTGGGACCCTCAGCTCTCCTGGGACCCCTCAGCCTCGCCTGGGACCCCTCAGCCCTTCTGGGACCCCTCAGCCTCGCCTGGGACCCCTCAGCCCTCCTGGGACCCCTCAGCCCTGCCTGGGACCCCTCAGCCCTGCCTGGGACCCCTCAGCCCCCTTGGGACCCCTCAGCCCTGCCTGGGACCCCTCAGCCCTGCCTGGGACCCCTCAGCCCCGCCTGGGACCCCTCAGCCCTTCTGGGACACCTCAGCCCCACCTGAGACTCAAAAAAAATCAGGTTCGTTCCTTGGTGTACAGCAAGCCAGTAATGACACACTCCAGAGAGACATCGTTTATTTCAGAGCCTGGGTGCTCAATGCTATTCCACAAATCCAGCACAACCCGCTGGATTTTCTGTGCCGTTATTTAGACAGAGAAGTTCAGGGTTAGTTATTTCCCCAGCACAGTCCCTCTGTTAGGATTCATTAGTTATTTCCATACAAATCACATAACCCCAGCTATCTTCTACTCATGCTCAGGAGWAGGATCTTCACCTGGGCAGGATCTTTTTGACCCCTAAATGTGATTTTTAGTGTTACAATGAAGATCATTCAGCTCTAGGATACATGGACGTGGAGTATTTGGCCAAGTTAGCGATGTTTACACCGACAAACATCAATGTCTTAGTTCATTACATCCCTAAATCTTGTTAGTTCCAGGGTATCCTTGAATGAGGGATGCTGGTTGCTGCCTGTTCCACTGATTAAGTATCCTTTTCTGCTGATCAGGCTTGAAAGTATACAAAAGTCTTACATTGAAGAACGTCCTGCCTTAAGATAATGTTGACATATTCCGCATTTGGCAACACTGGGACTCTCTTCAGCCCCGTGGGCTGAGCTGGTGGCCCCTGGCAAGGACGATGTTCCTGCTCCCCATGCTCCTCGGAAGAGTGGCCACAGTGCCTCGTCTTTGGAGCCAAAGCCAGCTCTGACAGCTCCCCAGCAGCGCCTTGGAGCCCGCAGCCCATGGAGCAGCTCCGAGGGCTCCCCGCTGGGCTGCGGGACTCTGGAAAAACATTCCCTTTGCAAGAGAATTGCCCGGAAGCATTGGTCCTTTTCCTTGGCAGCGAAAACCCAGTCCCTGTGGGACAGCTCTTGTGCACAGCAGAATAACAAGGCACATTCCTTTCTCCTTTCTTTTCCCCAGCTACTAAGTGCCACAAACCCCACAAAGTTTGCTTGGTAACTGCCTGTGGACTTTCTTCCTCCTATCCTTTCCTSATCCTCAAACAAAACACTGCACGTCCCAGCCCTGGATGACCTGAAAGCAGGGGGAAGAGGGATGACACCTTGCAGGGATGCTGACGGCACTCCTTTCCCCTGGGGATGTACAGACACGACACTGTCGGGCTTGTTTCGCAGCCTGGCTGTCACGTCATTCCCGAGGCGGTTCGGGTGGAGCGGGGCTATTTTCACACTCCTACCATGCTTTCAAAAATAGCCGGCTTTATTTTAATGCTCCTGGGATCTTCGGCTGTTTAAAATGATTAGTAAGTCATAATGTAGTAGAAGTTGTACCTGCTGATGCACACTATTGTCATCAGCTTCTTCTCCGTGTAATTCCCGATAAGGCACGGGAATGTGTGAGGGTTGAGAAGGGGCTGCCTGATCAGCAGATCTGGTGAGCTGTGCAGTTCTCTGCAAGGGAAACTGCCCCATTCTTGCTGTCCCATACAGTAATGGTGCTGCTGGTATGTTTTCAGCTCTCTAATCCCCCCGTTTCCTTTCTGGAGTTGTCTCCACAGCTGCACGTCCCCCGCACTGTCCCTGAGAGGTGGCTTAGCCTGTGAAACCTTGCACGTGTCCCTGTTTAAGTTGATCCTGTTATTTTAGGCTGTTTCTTAAGGTCATCCCAGCTTGGTTCCACCAGCGTGTGCCTCTCTGTCCTCCTGGCTGATGGGTGCAGAGCAGTGGGCTGCCTCACCTTGGCCACAGATGCTCGCACAGGGATGCAAGGATGCGTTTCCCTCAGGGTATGCATCTTCCATTAGTCACTTCCTCACAGCTTTGTTTCCTGACCAGCCTCGTGGGAACACTGAACGAGGCAGTTCCGGGTCCATCACCACCAAAGAATGTCAAAGAGCCAACAGGCATCAAATCCKTGGGCCAGAACCATGGACTTCTGAGAACTTCAATCAGAGCAGCTCACTCTTGTATTATTTATGCCATGGTGGTGCTCTGGGAGCCACTGGAGCCAAGAGAACTTCACACCAGACATCCTCCCAAAGCTAACATCCGCCTGGCAAAACACCCAGGGATGAGGTGGGGAATTGTCTGATCATCCATGTGACCCATTGCCTTGCCAGGTCTGTCCCAGTTTGACTTTGGGTCACTGCCTGTTGATTCCTGAAGCCTGTTACTCCATCTAGACCCTTTCCTGCAGCTGCAGCAGGAAGTTTTCTGGCTGGGAGAAACACTTTGCTGCTGGGGGCACCGGCTGTGGAGATCTGAGCACTGGAGAGCTCTGCAGCCGCTTGTCCTGCAAGGCTCTGAGTGCCCGGGCTCCCACCAGCACTGCTCCACCCCAAAACCATTGGGTTTTTTCTCCCTCCTTCAAGAGCATCCTCTCTCCCTGGAGATGCAGAGATGCTCCAGAGCCGGTTCCAGCACCACCATAAATCCTGCTTGGAGCAGGAACTTCAGAGCTCCCTTTGCATTTCACACCTACTTACAGTGCTGCCACCTGACTCCAGGTGCAACAAGCTGTAATTTCCTGTAGAACGATGGGAACAGCTGGAAGCACCTCCAGCATCCCTCAGCACCAAAAGCTGCCTGGGATGTTGCTGCACATTTAGGGCATGGGGTAATTTGGGGATCCCAGGGCTTCCTGCTGTGCCAGGCCATAGGAAGCCGGGAGAACAGGGCCCATCATCAGCCATCAAATGGATTCACAAAAAGTGAATCCAGGCAGGAGGCCTGGATTTCCTCTGAGCTGCATTCCTGCCCTGTGCAGCAGCAAGCCTGAACCTCAGCGGCCATGCCAGGCCAGAGCTCAAGGTTGTCCCAGCAAGGCTGAGCAGAGGTCATAACAGGAGGATGTTCAATTAAAGCTGCTTAAAAAAGAAATCCAACTTTCCATATGCCTCTCTGGAGAATAAAACGGCCCCAAAGCTGAGCGCAGATGGGGTGCCAGGCGGGGGCCTGAATACAGCCCCCATGGCAGAGGTGACTCTGGCTCAGCTGTTCCCTCTGCCTCCGATCTGTGGGGATTGAGGTTGTCTTTTGGTGTTTCCTTATGGAAATTTGGACATTTGGCTCGGCAGAAATCCTCACAAAAGCTCGGACAGTGGCCAGCCCTTGACATAGTGTCCTCCAGGCTGTGCTCAGCTTCCAATGCTCCCGCCCCCACCGTGGAGCCAGGCTGGGCTCTTCCATGGGGACACCAGGCTGGGACAGTGGCACTGAGGGCTGTGAGAAGCCAAGGAGCCATCCCTCCTCTGCTGGTGGCCTCCACACCAGTCCATCCAGTTAGAGAAACCCAAGTGCACCCCCACAGATGGCGTCTTTGCCAGGAGGAATTTCCCTGGGCAAAGGAACAGAGGATTCAGACTCTTCAAGGATTCAGAGACGTTTTGGGTGGTGTGGCAGGAGGTCGGCCCTCGTGTCACTGCGCTACGTGTGCTCTCACTCACACAGCCACCCAGAATACTGTCACCATCTGCTTCCAGCTGCTGGGGACACAAGAGCCTCCCTAGCCCCTTCTGCGATCACAAAAAGTGAATTCAAACATCAACTCAGCTGGACTCAGCTGGCCTTTATCCCTTCTTTCTTCTTTTTTTAATAATTCAGGTTTGTCTCTTAGAGAAGAGAGAGGGAGATAATGTCTGCAGAGCATTTAATCTTCTGCCCAAAGAATAGCAGAGAGCAAATTAGGATCTACTCCAATTAATTTGCCTTGATGGGCAAAATCTGGAGAGCGGCCATATCTGGGAATTAAGAACAAAAGCAGGGAGTATAAAGTAGGTCACCGGAGTTTCATAACCAGAGCGAGGGGTTTTCACAGCATGACGGGTGTTCCAAAGGTGCTGGGGTCCACCAGTCTCATTCCCACTCTTCGCAGGTTTCAGCCTGGGCAACTGCTTTAAGCTGCTGTTGGCATGCAGGGAGCCAGCTGCTTGTTCCAGGAACAGGAACAAGRACGTTGTCCCTTCCCACAACTGGACACTGCTGCAGGACTCTCCCAAGCCCTTGGACCTATGGAAAGACAGACATCGGCTCATTGTCCCAGTTTTGGAGCCGCAGACAGCTTTCCTGGCATCAGCATGTCCACCCTTGCTATCACGCTGCTGCCCTTAGCCCTGCAGGCACCTCCCTGAAGGAGGATTGGGGGTGACAGGTGACAGTGGGATTTGGACAGTGCTTCGCTGTGGACTCTTGCACATGTGGTGTCACTGAGCGCTGGTGACCCACACATCCACCCTTTTCCATATTCCCAGCCCTGGCTTCCCAGTGCCATCAGTGCCTAGAAGCTGTGTGGTGACACGGTGACACYTTCCAGCTGTAGGACACACGTGGAAGCACAGCCAAGGGTGTGAGCCATGTGTGGTGACAAGCASCAGTGTTCAGGACATGTCGTGACATAGCCTGTGGCATGCACGGTGACATCTTCMAGGACATGGCACCTGTGTGGTGTGTCTTTGTGCACACGGGGTGAAACATTCCGAGTGTTTTGTGAGTGTCCGTGAGGCTTCCCAGGCTTTGATTCTGGCTGGATTGAAGCAGCATAGTTGTCTGTAAGTGWCACCGCTGTGACACCAGCCTGTCACAGCACCACGTTAGTGACGCTCCATCTCTCCGGCCAGCTCCCAGTGCCCCGCTGCAGGACGCTGAGAGCACGCCCGGCAGCGATCCCACCGCTCCCACCCCCACGGAGGTGCCGGCGGGCGCTGCGCGGTGCGTGGCCGGCGCCCGGCTGGCGTTTATCCTCTTAGCCACCCTGCCGGGATCCGGCACTAATTCACCCTTAAACACAGGATTGTCAGGAACCGGGGAGGAAAGAACCGCCGGATTATCCCCCCGGCGCTGGCGTTAAACACGGGGAGTGGCAGCTGCTGGATGGGGAGAGCTGGGGCGGTGTCCTGCCCCGTGTCCCATGGGGCACCGGCTCCGGGATCAGCATCTTTCCCCAGCTAGAGCTGACGGGAGCCCAGATGTTTTGTGTCCCCCCAGCCAGCTCCAGGCTGGTTGGAGAAATAAATGATGGGAAATAAAAWCAGTTCCCCTGCAGAGCTGAGGGGTCAGCAGCAACCGTTCAGCCCCATGAGATGGACCAACAAATCTGTTAGTGCTTACCGGACCCAGAGGCTGGGAGAGGACTGGGACAGCCAAGGTGACATCCCATATATCAGGGATCACATGTTTAAGTGATCAGACCTTGCAGGAAAAGGTTTTATATGAAACAAGCAATGATTTTCCCTGCCTCAATGAAGACAGTGATTACTGAGCTTCTTGCTCACACACCACAGGCCAGAGTGCAAAGGCTTCCCTGGGCCAAATCCATGTGCCCAGCTGCTGGAATGTTTTTGGGACAACCTTGAAGTCTCCCCAGAAATCACAGAAACAGCAGCAACTTACTACCCGTGGCATGTAGGAGCTCATGGCTCCTAYTTTCCGCTGAGCCTGGAACAATCCACCATGCAGTGTGGATCCAAGGATGTTGGCCACAGGATCTGGTTGCCCTTCCCAAGAGGAATGGTTTCCCACATGCCAGCCAGATCTACCCATCACTGCTGCAGGGGCCTGGGGCCACACCAGCAAGGAGCCTGTGATCTGTGCCATAGCTGGGGTAGCCCAYCTTCAATTCCAGTGGCCCTTTAGGCAGCAGGTGGAGAGCCATGGCTGTGCCCAGGAAAGCAGGGAGGTCACCTCCTTAGCCCAGGCCTAGGGGAGCTGGTTTGCACACTGGGTTTTAGTAGGTGGGAAAAATACCTTAAATTTTCAGCATAAGAGCAACAGGGATGSGATTTACAGCACCCTCCATTTATAGACACAATTTTAGCCATGTTAWAGTCACATAAACCATCTTGGTTTAACTTCAACAAGATCCACACAGACCTGGATGASAGTTTCAGTTCCCTGTTTCTTTCACCTCTATCATCTTGGTTAAAWAAACCAAACAAAAACCTTTTTTCCCTGTAAACCATAGTTTTCTTCATGACCATGAACACAGCAAGGCCAGAATAAAAAGGCTGGAAAAGAGAAAATGACACTTGAGTTGCGTATCAGAGGACAAACTATTCGCTGCCATAAAGACAAAGATGTATGTGACCTGTGTTTTCCTAAGGTGCCCTTTAAAACGGAGAAAACATTTGACCCACCTCTAAAGGGAATATCTGCTATGCTCAGCCCTGAAAAGCAGCTGTCAGGAACAGCAGGGCAGTGGGAATTGTCCCCTCCTCGGGCTGTCCATGGGCAATGGGAATTGTCCCCTCCTCGGGCTGTCCATGGGCAATGCAGTGGGGGAATGGAGCCACAGACCCTCTCTACTGACCCTTCTTGGGGACTGGTGCAGGGACCATCTCCTCTCCAGTCCCCAGAGCAAACACGGAGCGTGGGAAGGGCTCGAGGGGCATCCCATGGCAGAGAGACAGGAGAAATGTAAAAGTGTCTTTTAATATAAATATAAATCCATCTGTAGTGCTGCRGGAGATGACCGTGCCCCGCGAGGGATGCCCGGGAGGGAGGTGGGCGCGGCGGGGACCGGTCAGCACCCGGGGGGACCGACCCGGCATCACCCGGGTACCCCGCGGGCGGGCTGGGCTACAGCCGGGGCAGCAGCAGCGGCAGGGCCAGCAGGGCCAGCAGCCGCGGGTGCAGGGGGGTGGCCGAGCCCCGCAGCGTGGCCTGGTTGGTCTCAGCGGCCGGCGAGCCCTGGGCGCTGGCCATGCGTCCCCGGGCGCTGCACAGCTCCTGCAGGTTCCCCTGGAACTGGATCTTGCGGGACTCCTGGCGCAGCGACTCCCAGATGGTGGCCGCTTCCACGGGGCATCTCGACAGCACCTCGCTGGCGCACGTGTGGAAATCATCCCAAGACCTGCGGAAGAGGGCGGGAGTGGGGGGCTGCTGGGGCCGGTCACCCCCGTCCCAGCGGCTCCCACAAGGACACTCACTTGCAGATGGTGTCCAGCTCCTGCGCCTCGTCGCCGCCCTCCTCCTGCTGCTGCTGCTGCTGCCGGACACTCTGGACCATGCTGTCCCCCAGGCTGATGAGGCAGGCGGCGAAACCCTTGTAGATGGTGTCGCACTGTCCCGCCATGCTGACGGGCTCCTGGCTCGCGGCTGYGGGGCACAGAGAGGAGAGACCGAGCTGAGCCCCCGCCGACCCCCGACAGCCCCCGCCTGCCCGGCTCSGGGGAGGAGGCGCTCGAGTATCACCGGCTGGGGGTGACACTGCGCTCTGAAATGTGGCGAGGGGCTTCCACAYCCTCCCGAGCCCCCGGCATCCTCTCCCAGGGCACTTGTAGTGACCCTTCGCTCCTGGCCCGGGAGCCCGACGCGATGTGACCACCCCGCAGCGATGCTGCCACTCGCCACAAGGTTCCCGCCGGCCGCGTTATCTCGGGCCTCCCGGACTCTCCCCGGAGCCATCTGTCCCGGCCTTTATCCCCTGACAGCAAAGATTAATTTGTGACTACAACAGAAAAAAAAAAAAATAAACCAACAATGCAAAGGCTCAGCAAGCTGGAGTCCCTGCTCCGATTGCAGTGGGAGAGAGGGGGAAAAGGGAAAGGAAAGGGGAAATGAAAGCGGAAAGGAAAGGGGAAAGGAAAGGGGAAGGGTGGGCAGGAAGAAGGGGAAGGGGAAAGGAAAAAGGAAAGTAGAAAAGGAGGGGGAAGAGGAAAGGAAGGAGGGAGGGGAAAGGCAAGGAGAGGAAGGGGGAAGGGAAAGAAGAAAGGAGAAAGGTGAACAGAAGAGGGGAAAGGAGAAAGAGGAAAGGGGAAGGGAAAACAGGAAGGGCAAGTGGGAAAGGGGAATGAAAGGTACGAAAGGAAAAGGCACAAGTGCAACCCGGGCTGCTTTATTCTGAGAAGCCCCAATTCCCTGCTCTGCTCCACCAAGGATTCACCACCGGCACGGACCAAACCCTGGTGCTGGCCACAGGACAATGGGTGACAGGGTGTGTTCACGAGGACTGCGAGTGCATCCACGGACGGCAGGAAGCCCTAAAATAGCTCGGGGGGACTGGGGGGAAACCAGTGCATGGTCCTCAGCTCTGTCCCGGGGGTCCTGCAGGCCAAAGATGTGGGGTCCCTGTGCCAAATCACAGGAGTTACAAGAATTTTGGAAGTGCTGTAGGTGTGCACCAGGGAGGTTTCTAACTGAGGACAGCCCTGAGGGTGATCCCTGTGGGAAGGTGACCCCAGAAGCAGCTGAGAGTTTCCCGGTGTCTGCTGAGACAGCCAGGATGTCTCCAGGGAGCCGTGTGCCTTGCTACTGGTATCTCATGCCTGCACCCCTGGAACAGGGTTCTGAGCAAAATGTTTGCAATGAGAACCCCCTTGAGCACATCACCGAGGAAAGTCTCAGATTGATGCCAGAGCCGTGGGACGGAAATACTGCAGGTATCAATAGAGAAAGTGGGATCCACTGCTCCYCTTTCGACCTAACCAGGCAACAAGAGTGTCTCCCACCAGCCCAGGGACACAGCGGCTGGCAGGGCCARAAGGTGCCTCCCCTCAGCCGCCTGGTCCTGCTGCAGGCTGAGGTTTCACCTCCTGGGCTCCTCYAATGCCCGGCACAAGCCCTCCCCTTCTCTCAGCTCTCTCGGCACGGGGCTGGGCAGGGCGAGCAAAGAAGGAGAAACCAGGAGGACAAATCACCTCCGCTGCTCCGCTGCAAAGCCACGGGGAGAAACCTGCCCCGGCTCCGTCAGGGAGAAAGCCCGAGGGAAACGCAAGGAGGAAGTTTCCCAGGGCGCTGCAGAGCATCCCTGGCTCCCAGGCGAGTGCCGACGCAGCCATCCTGCTCCTGGGTTAGGGTCGGAATTACCCACCCTCTGAGCCTGRAATCCACCAGAAGTTTGGTGGTCCCTGTCCCCCACCCTCCGTGCAACCGGACCAGGTTAACCCCAGGCTCCCGATCCCTCTTCAGGCAGATATATCACTGGGTACCGCTGTGTTCCGCATCCTCCTTCGGCTCACGGAGTAGCGGGAGTGGGGAGGGGACGCGCTGGTGCCCGTGAGGTGCAGGAGCTGCTGGATAACGATCAGGGTGCCCTCCGGCCCCGGTGAAGGAGGGGAGCGGGGAAAGCCAGCAGGTGCGTGGGGTGGGCACASAGGGCTGGAGAGCCAGAGCTTGGGAGCTGTCCCCTCCTGGGCAGAGACACCCCGGACAGCGCTCTGAAGCGCCATCGCAAGACATGGGACAAGAGAGGATGGGATCCATCCTGGGATGGATCGCTGAGCCGTGGGGCAACCGCGCATCCCGCTCCCCGCAGCTACACAGGGTCCGGGAGGCGGCCGGGGGTCCCGCTCCACCCGCCAGCCCCCAGCCCAGGCAGGGAGAGCCCGAGGGTGTCGGTTCACCCGGAGCGGCACTCACCGAGGTGCAGGAGCAGCGGGCACACGACGCCCAGCAGCCGCCAGCAGCCGCCGCCCATGGTGCGGACCCCGCGCCGCCGCCGCC